ATTTCGTCGTTGGGTCCACCTTCGGCGACGAGACGAAAGCTTTCGTCGCCGAAGGTGGTGATTTCATCCACCCCTGTTTTTTCTCTTTTTTTGTCTTTTTGTTTCCTGTATTTATTACTTTCTCGATAACACGTATCACTAAGAACGAACTTAATTTCATTTAAAAAGTCATAATATTACAAACATTTGTTTTATAAAAGTACAAAAATAATACAAATTAAATTTAACAACCTACTCTAAAAAGTCCCAAACATAAACAAAAACATATTTTAAACAATCCCTCATAAAGTTTGTTCATTAAATTTGATCAAGTTTCCAGAATCTTTCGATACAGAAATTGAACGAACCTGAAAAAACAAATAACAAATAAACTTATATTAGCAAAATAATTTATCTCTTTGTCAAAACTAACTTAAAAGTGATAAAAATATCTAACTCACTCCACATGCAAGTCTCGAACTCAAACTAGACATTAAAAGTTAACTCACCACATGCATTAAAAGTTAATAAACTTTCATTCTAACTCACTACGCATGTCATAAACTCAAACTAAGCATTCAAACTTCCATATGTCATGAACTCAAAATAAACATTTCACAAACTAAATTAAAGTATAAAAGCATCCCCTCCTCTAAACACTTTCATTTAAAGTCAATAAATTAAATCTTATATCGCACAAATTAAAAGAAAAAAATATATGAACATCTCCCTCCCCAACACTTTCATTCAAAGTATGTATACCTCCCTCACCCCACCCTCCCCAACATTTCATTCTAAGTGTGTATAACACCTTCCCCTCCTTAACAACTTCAAATTTCCAAAAATTGCTCTTACCGAGTAAAACACGCACACTCACCAATCAACTTTACAAATTTAACATAATCATCCAACAACACTTAAACATAAACATAACTTATTATATCGCACAAACTAAAACAAAAAATATAAGAACATCTCCCTCCCCAACATTTTCATTTACTCTCATTCAAAGTATGTATAACACCTCCTCCACCCCCCAAAACTTCATTCTAAGTATGTATATATAACACCCTCCCCTCCCCAACACTTCAAATTTCCAAAAATTGCTGTTACCAAGTAAAACACGCACACTCACCAATCAACTTTACAAATTTAACATAATCATCCAACAACACTTAAAACATAAACATAACTGATTTATTCGTAACATACGTCTTAAATAGCTACCATAACTGCAAAATCATCCAACAATACTTAAACATAAACATAACTGATTCATTTGTAACATACGTTTGAAATGACCACCATAACGGCAGGATAACCACATTTACAGCTATTGATTCTAACAACACTGTAGTGGACGTACCTATTTTGACGAGCTGGCTCCACTAGAACGACCCATAAATTCTAGCATCATGGATTTCAAATCTGACATTTCACTGCGTAGACCCGTAATCTTCAAATCTTTGTGTGCGAGGCACTCCTTTAACTCCTCAAACTCTTTGTCTTTCTGTGTGAGGTGCTCCTCAAACTCGTTTTTTTGTGTGAGATGGTCCTCAAACTCTTCTCTTAGGGTACTTATTTCTTGAGACAACTCTTGTTCCGGCTGTGAAGAAGTTACACTCGAAGCAGAACCTCTGCGAGATTTAGGTTTCGGGCCCCAACCAGCACTTTTAACGTAGCTTGATCGATGCCCGAGAACTATTTCCAGTACTTATGGGTCTGACATCGTTTCGCTGTCGTCCTGTATAGATTCTTCTCTAACACGCATCATGTCTAGCTGCATACATATTTAAAAAAGAACAAAATGTTTACATATACAATTCGAAGCGTAATTTGAAGTTAATTGTTATAAGATTTGTAAATTTACATAAATAAATACTTAGCTTAATCAACCTATATTCATTTGGTAGTCTTTAAAGTAAATAAATGACAATATTTCATACTTACAAAGTCAATAAATTAAATCAAACAAACAACATTTCAACATCTCACAACTTAATTAAAAAGTTCACAATCAAACCAATATGCTCCAAGCTAAAATAGTTCATAAGCACGTTGACAAGCAAAAAAACTAAGTCAAAATCAAACAGTTTAAAAATTAACTCACAACATACCTTTAGCACAAGTTACAACGAACGCCAAGAACCAATACTGACCACAATAAGCTCAAAGTGAAGCTTATAAATTCCAACCTAATAATAACAACTCATGAAGTAAAAATCAAAATCAAGTCATAATCACTAGGATTATATGTACATTTAAGTCACAATCAAACTTACCCATTAAAGTTCATCCATAAATAATTTGGATACTTAAATAGAAATCAAACACGAATCAACTAAAAAATCATTATAATTAAAATCCCTAAAATTTAGAAACTTTCTAATTGCAAAATTTTCAAATAAAGTACCAAACTTCTTAAAGCACAAACTAACACACCCTACAAACTCTAATTCCCCACACGTCCACTTACAAGATTTCTCAACTTCATCTCTCTATATTAGGAAAATAAAATTTCAAAACACAAACTTAAACAACAATCTCTCGATTAATTTCTCAACTCACTCTATTAACATTAGGTGAAACATTATCAACCTTCACAATTTCTCAAATAACTACATTCACAATTTCATAACTATTATACAAAACATTATATAAAATGTGTGCTAAACAATTTCACAATTTCTCAAATAACATTCACAATTTCTCAAATAAACAATTTCACAATTTCTCAAACAAAATAACGTATATAAATCTAATATTATACAAAAAGGAAAAAAACACAAAAAAATTATACACAAAAAAACCTAAATAAATCTAATCTTATGGAAAAAATATAAATAACATAAAAAAAAAACTCACCGGCAGCAGAACGGACGCGGCAGGGAGTGGCGGACGAGGTCGGAATGAAGGAGTGTCGAGGGGAGGCGGAGCGCGGGGAGGAGGGATGGCTGGAATGAAAGAGGGAGAGAGGGGCGTCAGACGGCGGGAGGGAGAGAGAGGGGTGTCGGCGGCCAGGAGGCAGGGCGTCGGAATCGGTGGGGTGGCGGGACGTCGAATCGGCGGGGCAGTGGGGAGGTCGGATGGCTGGAAGAAATGCAGAAAGCGATGGGGCAGCGAAATCACGAAGGAGAGAGGGTTTAAAGAAGAAGGAAAGAAAATGGGGAGAAGAAATCGAGGGTTTGATTTGGGGGTACTTTCGGCTACAAAATTATTTTCGTCGCCAAAAGTCTCCACAAATTGTCGCTATTGGGGAGACAAAAATTGGGCAGGTCTTTGCCTGCCCAATTTTTGGCGACGAAATTAGACTTCGTCGCTAAAGGTCAATCCAAAACCTTTGTTGAGGTTTTTTAGCGTACTTTCGACGATGAATGTGTATGTTTGTCCTCCAAAGGACCACCTTCAGCGACGATTTTAAAATCGTCGTCAAAGGTGTTTCCATCGGCGATGAAATCACATGTCATCGCCAAAAGCTGGAACTTTCGACAACGACATATGATTTCGTCGCCAAAGGTGTGGCTTTCAACGACGAAACTAGTTGTCGTTGCCGAAAACTTGGTCCCCGAATTTCAAATTTCTTGTAGTATATATATATATTTGTTTTTACTTGTTTAAATTTTCATAACTTTTTCCAACTCTACTCAAACAAAAAACTAGGAGCAAAAAACTAGGGGTTTTCTTTATTGAAGTAAAGGAAGTTGAAACAATAAGTACAACCTTTAAGTGTCAACTTATTATAGTAGCATCTATGACAACTATGAAAATGACAAAATATTTTAAATAAAACAAAATGGAAAAGTAGTGGATTTACGTAGTTGGTTTTACAAAGTTTTGTCTTTTGGAGGTGGATTATTTGCTTTCTTTTTCGCTGATTCATATGTTGTTTGGTGATTTTGTCCTCATAGATTTTGACTTGTTTGTTTTGTCTAAGAGTAGATTTGCTTCATATAAAATTAGCACAGTCATCTTGATCCTGATCATCTTGAGTTTCAGATATGTCAGCAAGCTTCTATTCATTTACAAACTTGTACCATTGCTACTATTAGTCTTGATCTTGTGAGTAAAACAATGGCTAATTCTTTTGATATTTGGATAAAAAAAAGGAAGAAAAATTGACAAAATGGAAACTTTAACTCCAAATACCTCCTAAATTAGAGGACGAGAGTATAAACATTCCACCAAAATAGCTTAATTGTTTAGATTTGGTATATGTTGTTCTTTTAAGAAATAACATACCGTTTATATACATATATAAAAAGCAATGTATGTGTGTGTCATTTCTTACCGTTGAACTGCATATTTCAAGAGACGAGTCCGTGGTCGGAAAATTTTCAAAGTATTATTTTTGGAACAAGTTTTTATGTTCAACAATAAGTTTAAATTATCAATATTAAGAAAAAAAGAAAAAGCTTACCATACATATAAATATAAAAACGTGTTAAATGATGAAATCACGGATCTGAATGCCAATAGCTTGTCGTTTTTACTTTTACAGATGGCCTTAACACGTGAAAAATGTGGAAAGATTGGCATTTACAAAATAAAAACAAAAAAACTTTATTGAGATGAGGACAATACTACGTGGCCTAGGTTGTCCTCTTCCAAAATAACATAAAAAGATATATATCGTTAAAAAACCAAAAATAGGATACTTTCTCAAAATAATGATAAAAAATATTGTGATTATTATCCGGAAAAAAATATATAAAATACCCATTGTCTTGTATTTGAGTTTTGATTTATTTGGTCCCTATAATTCTGTTATTTTTAATTTCTATACTGTTTGCTTTTCCTTAAAATGTGACAATTTTGATCCGTATTTAAAAAATTCTATACCTAAGGATAATAGTGAATAGTGAAATTGTGGTAGATAAAAATGAAATTAAAATAAAAGTAAGAAAATAAAATGTTTTAAAAGTACGAAGCAAAACTAAAAGTAGAAAGACGAAAATAGGAAAATACAAGGAGTATTTAACAAGAAGAAAAAGAAGTATAAAGCTGATGTTGTGGGTGTGGAGATATGAAACGGAAGTGTGAGGAAAAATGGGAGAGCGAGAAGGAGAAGAAGGCAATAAAATCCATGTCCTTGTGGTACCTCTCTCCGACGGGCAAGGCCACATCAATCCAATCCTCCAATTCTCCAAACGCCTCGCCTTCAAAGGCCTCACAGTGACTCTTCTCAACATTCTCCGCCACAATAATAATAATGAACAACACCAACACCATTCACACTCCTCCATTCATGTGGAGCATCGCCCTCGCCTCCCCTACCAAGGCCCCCAACCAGAATCCATGGACTCCCACATGGCCCGCCTCCGCGCCTCCATTTCCTTCCACATAACCGACCTCGTCGCTCGCCATCGCACCTCCCCCGCCCCCGTTCGCTGCCTCATCTACGACTCCATCATGCCTTGGGTTCTCGACGTTGCCAAGGGTCTTGGAGTCTTTGGAGCTYCCTTCTTCACCGAGTCGTGTGCTGTCAATGCGATTTTCTATCATCTCTCCTGTGGTTCGTTCACGATCCCGGTCGACCCTAGCTTTGCGTTGGCCTTGCCTGCTCTCCCGCCTCTCCGCGTCTCTGATCTTCCTTCGTTGGTTTCTAGTCCCGATCGGTATTCGGGATTCCTCGACTTCATGGTCGACCAGTTTTCAAACCAACCTGATTGGATGTTCATCAACACTTTTAATAGCTTGGAGCCACAGGTAATTCCTGGTTTTATCACATATACACTTTGAGGAGCTTACTTCAAAACTTGTCTTTCTATTGAAAGTGTTTATGAACATCCAATTTAGATCGGTTAAAGTTTCTATTTTTATCTCAAAAACCAATGCAAAGACAACTAGTCGTTGGGATTGCAAGGTGTGTAAACAAAGTTACACACTGCTTAGAAAAGAAAGTGATGTATGGTACATATTTGAGGATAATTATCTTTATTAGTATGAGAATTTTTGAATGAAACAAAAGATGAAAGCTATATCTAAAAAATATCATACTAGATACTATGAGAAGAGATAGGTAGGGTGCAAATCGGACAATGTCTTGGAAGTTGGCTCTTAATGTCATTTCCTTCCATTTATAAGGGTTGATTATCATTTATTGAATTTTGTGTAAATTTTTAAGCTCTTAAGTAAAGAAAGTATTAATATATGATCTTAAGCTTAAATTTTACGGTTGATTGATGATTTAACTCTATTCAGGTGATTGAGTGGATGCAAAGCCATACGTCACTCAAAACAGTGGGACCAACCGTTCCATCTACAATAACAGACAAGCGACTGACAGAGGATCATGAATACGGAATTAGTCTATTCAAATCAAGCGAAGACGACTCCAAAATCATGGAGTGGCTGGACTCTAAAGACAGGAACTCTGTCATTTACATGTCATTTGGAAGCGTAACAAAGCTGGGAGGGGAGCAGTTGGAGGAGCTGGCATTGGGGCTAAAAGCAACCAAAGCAACGTTTCTGTGGGTCTTGAGGGATTCTGAAATCCCAAAGCTTCCAACAAACTTTCTTGAAGAGATGGAGGAGAAGGGTAGGGTGGTGAATTGGTGCCCCCAACTCCGAGTCTTGGGCCACGAGTCGGTGGGATGTTTCGTTACGCACTGCGGTTGGAACTCGGTTTTGGAAGCCCTCAGTTTGGGGGTTCCAATGGTGGCGATGCCGCAGTGGGCGGACCAGACGACGAATGCCAAGTTTGTGGAGGACGTGTGGAAGGTGGGCGTGAGAGTCAGTCCCATGAAAAATGGCGTAGTTGGAAGAGAAGAGATAGAGCTGTGTATTAAGGGAGTGATGGAGGGAGAGAGAAGCGTTGAGATGAGAGAAAATGCGAACAAGTGGATGAAGTTGGCGAGGGAAGCTGTGGATGAAGATGGAACCTCTGATAAAAACATTGATGAGTTTGTGGCGCAACTTACTAATGCTACGGTATGATTTTTATTTGGGTAAAATACATTTTTTGTCCTTGAAATTTGAGGTAGGCATCTACTTGGTCTTAAAAATTTCAAAATGAACACTTTTGATCCCTCAGATTTGAGTTAGGTCTCTAATTGGTACATAAATTTTATGGTCCTTGAGATTTAAAGTAGGTATCAATCCCTCAAGTTTTAAAATAAACTTTTTTGTCCATAAAATTTGAGAAATAGTTCTAAATGTTCTCTATTTTTTTTAACTGTTATTAACCAATATTAAAATAATGTGGCAAATTGCAATTAAATTGTTTATTGTAGGTGGTGATGTGACAAATTATATTAATTAAATGATATATGTCCGGTATGAATGACAGACGGCGGCGACAAAGACGTGGTGGTCGTCGGAAAAGGGTAGGAGAAAGAGACAGGAAGATATGAGGAGATAGAGAGAAAGTATCATCACCTATACATATATTATTTAATTAATAATTTGTCATATTAGCAACTACAATAAATAATTTAATTGCAATTTGCCACGTCATTTTAATATTATTTAATTAACAGTAAAAGTAAAATCGAGACCATTTGAGAACTATTTCTCAAATTTCAGGGACCAAAAGTGTTCATTTTGAAACTTGAGTGATCAAATTGACACTTAATTTAAACCTTAAAACCAAACAGGTTCATTTTGAAACTTCAGGGACCAAGTAGACACGTACCTCAAACCTGAGGGACCAAAAACGTTCATTTTGAAACTTCAGGGACCAAGTAGACACGTACCTCAAACCTGAGGGACCAAAAACGTTCATTTTGAAACTTCAGAGACCAAATAGACACCTACCTCAAACCTGAGGTACCAAAAATGTATTTTGCCATTTTTATTTTCTATACTTGTCGAAACATATGCTTCAATCCACAAMAACAATATAACGTTTTCAACATTTTTTCAATTATATTATTTTTGTTCGTTCAATGTTAAAAGTTAGTTCATAATAAAATTACATAGCATGTTATTTAGTGAATTGTCAAAAGGCAAAGAAAAAGAAGTAGACAACTTRAGAGAAGAAACTTAATGTGAGATGCCGTATAAATTGTAGTTTTTTTTCTCTGAAGTGAATTAATTTCTCCTCTAAATTTTACAAACTCACCGAGTATTAATTTCAACTTATTATCAATTAATTTTAACATTTAATTGTGAAAAATTATAATTAAAAAATATAAGGGCGAAATTAATTTTTTTTTAAAATATCAAGCCTTTTATTTCTTGTTGGTGTTATTGATAAGAGTAATAAATAATGTTGAGTAAATGTGTGTGATCTATTCTTGGGAGCATAACAAGAGTTATCATCAGATCTTGAAAGTGGAAAACCAACTGCACTAATTTTTTATTTCTCAAAGAAAAAAAAAAAGAAAACTACACTAAGTTTTTTCTTTATTTTTGGAGGATTCTTAAATAATATTGTAATTAATTTGCATAAATTAAGAACCTAGTGTTTGTCCTTTAGGTTTTGGCCATTATTTTATAAAGACATTAGTGGACGACAGCTGAGACCCAACATGAATATTTTTTTAGAAAAAATAAAATGTTGGGGTTACCTTCCATGCCACGATGTGATCGTCTTCTGGTCATTGTTGGATAGAAAGTTTAAAATTCATAAGCTCTTTAATATGTAATTATTTAATATAGATTTGAAATAGAATTTTTAAATTTGTTCTCGTACATATGCAATGATATAGAGTTGTCAACTTGAATGTAACTATACTGGTTAAGGTATTCAAATTCAAATAATATGGGGTGATTTATTTTCTGAGAATGTAGATGTTTGACATCTATAGATGCCTAGAATTTCATATGCTCAGAATTTTAGATATCCGACATCTTCAGATAATCGTGTCTGTTTCATAGAAAAATTTATAAGGATATCCGAGAATATTTGGATAGCTACTTTATTTTGCAAGATTTATTAGGAATGTGTTAAATTTGTAGATTATTCCAAAAATACCCTTACGAATATTTATATAATTGATAAATTCATTTAATATAATAGATTTATTTGAATTAATTTAATATTTTTTATATGTTATTTTGTAGAACGAAGTAATTCTATTAATTCAGTGGTGATTAACATATGTCTCTGACCAAGAGGTCATGAGTTTGAAACCGCACCCCACATATTATACTAAAAAAAACTTTAATGATTTTCCAAAAAGACAATCATATCATTTATGTTATCTTGGGAAATGTTGTTTTACAACTATATATTTATGATAATAAATATTATTAATAATGTAATTCCTTCAAAATATTAAAAATAAACAGAGATATTATATAATTTAATTATAATTTATTTTACATCTAAATATAATGTACAAATATACTTAATAGGATAAAGTTGTTTATTAGATGTTGAGTATATTAATTTATTTTAATTATAAATTTAAAAATAAAAAATAATGATTCTTTTTAGAAAAGATTAAAAAAATTGATGAAAAAATATACGGAGAAAAAAATAAATGAAAAAAATGTAAAAAGTGGATGCCCTCAACTCGGGAAATCTTCTAAAACTCATAAAATGTCTCCCGTATGGGCATCTTACATTCCTCCAAAACAAACGTGGGAATACAGATGTCTGTCCAACSGAAATCCTGATTAAACAAACGACCCCAAAAGATTTTAGATTTATATTATTCCATATTTAAATAAAAAATTACCGAAACCATGAGATGTTGCATCAAATCTATTCATTTTATATCATCTTGTACTTGATGGAAAAAGAAAGAAAGAAAGAAGAACACAATTTCAAAAAACAAAATAAAAGAAAAATACAATCTATTTGTACTACTAAAAGAATTAAAAGAAAAATACAATCTATTTGCATTATTGTAATTATAGATATTTGGATTTTTTTTATTTGTTTAGAAATGAAGATAAACTTTTGTTTGAAATAAAGTTTATAAATAATCTTACTTCTTTTCTTTTCTTTTTTCATTCTTATTTATTTCTCTCTTCAGCAACCCTATAAGTATCTTTCTCTCATTTCGTGTGGCAGAAGAGAGGAAGAGGGAAGAATAAAAAAAGAGAAAATAAAAAGAAAATAAAACAAAGAAAGAATGGGTTAATAGAAAATGAGAGAGAGAAAAAAAATTTGGAAAAAGAGAGAGGGGAGATAGAGGGAAATAGGAGAGAAATCTAATTGGAGGGGGTGAGAGTCATTTTGTATCTAAGTGATGTCAGCAAAGCAAAAGATTAGAAAAAATAAATTAAAAAAAGTGAATAAAAATCAATCCTATCTTGTGAAAATGCTATTCAGCCAAAAAATCCATAAAATGTCAGGGTTCCTCCCATGCCACAATGTGAATTTTTTTTTTAAATAAATAAAACTTCATTAAACGAAATCACATGCTACGAGACTACAGAAGCTGTCAAAAAACCAGTAATTAAATCAGAGTGCCACGTCGGAAACGAGCTTATCCACAAGGCGGACAGACTCGATGAAGATGTCTCCTTTGCTAGACCATCAGCAACACCATTGAATCGTCAATTCACATGACTGAACCTCACCCGCCTGAAATCTTTCATCAAATCTGAGATTTCTAAGTTCCAAACCTCCGCTTCAGATCTATATCTCACCCTTCCTTGAAGGAGATGAATTGCCTCTGAACAGTTCGTTGAACCATCCCATCTGAAAAATTGAGTCTCTTTGCCAGCTTTAACTCTGCATCTCAAACAACGAATCATCGCGTCCGATTCAACTCTGACAGATGGTTACACCAATTCCTGTACAACCAGACCTCAAACGGACAGGATGCATCACAATTTGCTCTTAAGAGGAACCCGCACCCACATGCCTGACCGAGATGCCAGAGTCCCCAAATGATCGCATCTTTTGGTTACGGGCAACAGACGCATTCTTAAAACTCTCAAAGTAATTGGAAATCCACTCAGCCTTCACTTGCACATCAGGCACTTGTCTACCATTTATAATTTTGTTTCTGTCATTCCATAGCGCCCACATAACCACATTATGTGATCCTCTTCTAATCATTATAGATAGAAGTTTAAAATTCATATACTCTCTAAAGGTGGCAGTTCCAGGATTCTATGTCAGGGGCACAAATGCATATAAAAATTAGAAAAAAAATCAACTTTATACTAGAATTTGGTGATGTGTATCGATTTCCATCTTACCATTTGATAATGACTATCATTTTCACCTTAAACTTTGAAATATGTCACAAAATTTATCCTTTACTAGATTTTCATTTAAAATTTTGTTGGAAAAAGATAATTTCACGTGTCAAATGAATTAGAAAACACATATGTTTGTATCAAAATAATTGAAATGATTTAGGTAAAATCTTAGAGTTGTTAAAAAACTCAATGTTTTTTCCTTACCAAAATTCATACTAAATAGTATTCAATTTAAAATCCAGGGACATGCACCCCTGGTCCTTTCGTGGATCCACCCCTATTCTCTAATATATAGATTATTTGATATAGGTTTGAATTAAATATAATTTTTAAGTCTTTTTCCATGCATATAATAGTGTAGAGTTATCAATCTGAATGTAACTCGACTAGTTAAGCTATTCAAATAATAAAAAATTTAGGTTTATTATTCTATATTTAAATAAGAAAAATTACCAAAACTAGATGTTGCGTCAAACCTATTCATTTTATATCATCTAAAACTTATGGAAACCATTCACACAAATTCAAAAAACAAAAGAATTTGAAAAAAAAAACGATCTATTTGCATTACTATAATTAAAGATCGGGTATAATTGCAGTGGGCAGTAAAAATAATTTATGTATTTCAAAAATGTTACCAACTTTTAAAAATTTCAAATATAGCAAAATATTTAAATTTTTATTTCTAAATTTTTATTATTTCACTTTTACCTTGATGATATCCGATATATATCCAATGTATATCTGTATCTAATATACATTCGATGTATATCTATATTTAATATACATTCGATATACCTCTGATATACTTTCGATATACATCCAAGTTAGTCTTGATATACATTATCAGATATACTCATGATATACAGTATTAGAGCTATGTATTATACCTCTAATATATATATATATATTATATATATTATCTGATGTACCTTAAATTTATGATATACTAAATATATTTGAAACTGATTTACTAAATATAAGGTATATCAGTTTTTTAAATTATAGTTTATATCATTGCAATTTGTTGGTTGATATATTAATATTATCGATAATGTTGATCACTATATCACTACTATTTATTTTATATTAATATTAATTAGATACTTCAATTTACATTATATATATATATATATATAAATTAGATACTAAAATATAATAGATATAACGGATAAACTATATCAGATTTTTAACTTTTTTTTTTACGTGCATGATCCACATAAATCTTTTAATACAATAATTTTATATTTCAAAAAAAAAAAATCCACTATTGTTTTCATACGAAAAAGTACTGGATATAATAGTATTATATCAACACACATGTATCATAGTTATATTAGTAGATATCATTGTTATACAGAGGTATGTCAATGGTAAATAAGAAGTATATTAAGTATATATGAAATATATATCGGTCTTATATTATTGGTAAATCATATAATCATATATAAAAAGTTATATCAGTAGATATCACAGTTATATAAGTGATATATCATTTGTGTATAAGTGGTAAATTAGAGAAATATCAAGTATATATCACATATATATAAATGTTGTATCTACGTGGTAAATCAATGGTTATCATACGTATATTAGTGGTAAGCCATGTTAGAAGTTCAATAGATATCATAATTATATCAAAAGTAAATCAATTGTATATCATTATTATATCAGTGGTTATCAAAAGCATATATATCACTGGTAAGATATACTGTAGATATATTACAGATGTATATTAGATATATTGCATGGTAAAATTGTAATTTTAAAATTGGACCTCCGTTTTTTACTAAATGAGATTGTTATTTTACTTATTTTACTAAATATTTTTGTCATATTTGAAATTATTATTTTTTCTTAATTTAGAAACGAGGATATGTATCAAAACTTTTTTTTTTGGAAAGAAAGTTTATAAATAAATCATTTTTGCGAAATAAATAATGCCTTCTAGTCTTCAAAGTGTAATATTTTAATTTCCAAAAAAAAAAAATTGAAGAATGAAAACTAAATAGAACATGAAGAGCACACATGGAAAACATATTTCTCCACACAGACCGTACAACCATATGGATGCTAATATGAAAATTTTTCAAATTATTGTAGACTATTTTTTTCCTTTCTTTTTGACACATAAATTCAAGTTTCAAAAATGACCATTACATTTTTGTATTATTTTTAATATTAACCTTTGTCTACATGAGAGAGAATAAATGACGTTTGTTACAATTCCATCGATATTTTTGCATAAATTTATGGATTCGATATCAACATAAGGGGTGAATCACATTTTAATAGTATAGTAAAAATGGTTAAAAAAAAATCATCAACAAAATATCACTAGCATATATATAACATTAATATAAATAATTTTTAACTTATTTAAAAGGAAAAAATGCTTATTAGTTAATTTAAATATTTGTTATCTTAGTAATTTTTTTTCAGAAATTAGATATCGATATTTTAACAATATTTTTTATTGACATTTTCATAAAGTTGAAACATCTCCATTTTGATCAATATCTACTTTTAGTTTCCTTGAAGATGGCATAATGGCAAGTGTTTGGTGCATTGTGATACCACTAATCTTAAGGTCTCAAGTTCAAGCTTTGTGTTGGTCATAGTATGGTTTCAGACAACAAACTTCGATTATAGAGATTCACAACAGAAGCCACGTCACATCCATTCCTAGAAAAAGAAAAAAATACATCCATTCCTAGAAAAAGAAAAAAATACATCCATTCCTAGAAAAATAAAAAAATAAAAATCATTGCCGAACTTTTAAAACCTGTTGGTTTTTTAATGTGGAAAATAAAGTGAATTTGGAATGAAATGAAAATTTTAATTACATAACAAATTATTTATTTATTTCGGATTTTTGTTTTTTTTACGTTAAGATTACAAAATTACACCTTTGTAACTTTATACGTGTTAAAACACATATGTTAAACTTATCTCTTAAATGAAAATTGTTTTTATATTTATATGAAAAGTTGCATATGTGAAAAAGTTAATTCTCAGTGGTGGGGTTATATATTTGGACAACTATATAAATTTGTTGTTTTCCTTCATTTTGAAAAATCCAAGAATACCACAATTGGTATTCTCTCATCCTCTCACAATAATTCTCTCTTCGTTTGAGTTGTTGTTCTTATTTGTCCAGATCCGAGTAGTTCGAGGTTGCAGTTCTATCAGAATTAGTCATTGTATCTTGTTGAGACGATCGCTGCAGTTTGCTAGCAACTTACACAGAGTAAATAATTGTCTTTAGGTCAATGTTATTGAAGCATATCTCGACTATATTTATCAAGTTTTGATGTTTATTAAATTATTCGAATTTATATTGTTTTTAACCAGATACGTAGTAATCTGTGTACCAATATATACCATGTATATGTACCAAACAAAACCTAAGATTTTCTCTTTTTGCAAATTGTTAAAAAAACAAAACTTTTCCTTTCAAACCCGATTAGGGTTGAAATCAAGAAAAGGGAAAGAAAAACTAAAAAAATAAAATACATATTCAAATCTTGGAGCCATCATATAGACGGGACAGATAAATTATAATCAAAATCAAAGAATAAGAAGTGCTTTTCTCTATTAATATATATTTTTTAAATAATAATATAAAATGGGGTTAATATATATTTTTATAAGATTTGAGATCTAACCTAATGCTTATTCTATATTACTTACTCTTTTCACTATATTTTAATCATTGCTAAACACAAATGATTTCAATTAATTTTTAAATCGAGATCTATAAACTATAATATATTTATAAAAAAAAATTGAGGTGTATAATACAAACTCCACTTTTAGTTAACCATAAATTTAGTTTATAAACTTTTAATTATGCGTGGTACCTTAAAAAATAACTTTTTTAGAATAAATATTTTAAACTATATATCAATTTAATTCATGTATTTTAAAAAGATACCAGAGGAATTTACACAAAAGCATTAAATAACAATATATTCTTTAAATATAGCAAAGTTTAAAATTTTAAGAAATAGTTCTTTCTTCATCAAAATCAAAATGAATTTATACTCGAAAAAGATGAAAAGTTGTGATATTTTCTAAATTTATCAAATTTATGCTATGGACTGAATTTCTAAAGATATATTAGTATAGGTCTATGAAATTTTAATTTTGTGCTTGTCATTTATCACTAATTGCACTAGAACCTATTGAAAATCTATCTAAATCTAAATGTTATACTTATCAAAAATAGAAAATTTTGAGACTTATTTATAACTTTTTAAAATATAGAAATTAGGTAGCCACAACTTTTAATAATCGTTTAATAAATATAATTTAGTCAATAAAAATATAACTTCAATTGATAAGGCATCCAAATTTAAGAACCAAACCTCCATTGAGTTACCTTCTATCCAATGAAATAATGATGTGGAATCCTATGCCATTGACAACATTAAGGTAGCAACTAATTAAAGTTATTGTGTGTTGTTCCTCAAAAGTTGTTGTACAAAATGATTTATGTTTGTGTTGGAGCTTCCCCCATCATCCATGGCTGCTCTTGCCAGTTCCCTCCATTTCCTCATATTCTCTTTAATTTCTTCACTCTCATTTCCCTCCATAACTTCACTAACACACTCCTCTATCTGCTCCCTTCTGCAGATTCCATCTTCCCCCACTCTCACCCTCTTCCCAACCTTCCACACATCCTCTACATACTTGGCATTCGTCGGTTGGTCCGACCACTGCGCCATCGCGACCAACGGTACTCCCAAACTCAAAGCCTCAAGCGTCGAGTTCCAACCGCAGTGCGTAACAAAACACCCCACTGACTCGTGAGCCAAAACTTCCAACTGTGGACACCACTTCACCACTAGCCCTTTCTCCGAGGTCTCGTCTGTGAAACTTGGCGGAAGCTTATGGATCTCAGATTCCCTCACCACCCATAAGAAGAATCTGTTGCTCAATTTCAAGCACCATGCTATCTCCTCCATTTGTTCCTTTCCCAGCTCGGCTGAACTCCCAAAGGACACGTAAATGATGGACTTTTTGCGTTTTGAATCAAGCCATTTCATGGTGGAGTCTGTGTTTGATTCGAACAGGCTGAGCCCATAATCTCTGTCGTTTGGTAGTCGTCCATCCAAGTAGATGGAGGGAACCATTGGTCCAATATTCTTGAACGGAAGCTGTCTTCCCATCCACTCCCCTTCCTGGTACAATTTCTTACTTTTGTAATTGAATGAAAATCTAATTACAAGACACAGGGATGAAAAATTAATGCGAGTTGAAAAAATGATCTGTATGTCTCAACATCAACATCCGTGAGTTCAAATATGATAAAACAATATTTTGATGTATATTTTGGAACAAATTAGAAATGAAAAAAAAATGTTACCGAAGGTGTCCTTAGATATTTACTAATGAGTACCTATATCTACATGCTCATCTACCATTGAAAAATTAACATCCCATATGTGGTTGCATTTTTCTTTTAGTTAGTTATCAAACATTTAATGATACTCAAGATAAAATAGTTCCTCACCAGTTAGGGCTCAAGTATTTTTCGAGATTTGAGATTATACCTGTTGTTCTAAGGTATCGAAAGTGTTGGCGAAGATCCAATCAGCATCGTTCAACCGTGTGAACTGGTCGGATAAGAAGTTAAGAATAGCAGGGTATTTCACTCCATCGGAAACGAAAGATGGGAGGTCAGATGGGTGAAGAACTGGAAGGCCATGATCCACGGAAACCGTGGTCTGCTGCAAAGGAACATTCAAGGATCCCTTGTTGACGTTGTAATAAATGGCATTGACAGCCGAGGATTGAGTGAAAAAGGAAGCTCCAAGAACTCCAAATTGCTTGGTGATGTCGAGAATCCAAGGCATGATAGAGTCATACACGACGCAGGCAATTGGGTCGCTCTGGTCTTGGTGGCGAGCTAGAAGTTGAGTGAGATGGTGACTGATGGAAGCATGGCGACGCTCCCAGAAGGCCTCGACAGCCTCGGGTTTGGTGCCGTGGTAGGGAAGGAGCGACACGTGGTGGACGGTGAGTGGGAGGTGGGTGGAGGAGTCGTGGGAGTTAGAGGAGGGGATGAGGAGTAGTGTGACTTTGAGTTGGCGATGGGCGAGGTGCTTGGCAAATTGTAGGAGTGGATTTATGTGGCCTTGTGTAGGATATGGAACCACCACTACCTCAACTCTTCTCTCTTCAACTCCTCCCATCTTTCACCCACTCAGGCATTACCCTCAACATATATAAAACTAAAGCTTAGGATGCAAAATAGTTTATGATTAAAATTAGCTAAGCCAATGCGTCATGAAAAATATAAAATTAGGTTTTATTTACTACTACTTGATTTGATTTGTAGTGCTTTTTGAAGATGTTTTTTTTTCTTGCCCACGTACTATATCAATATTCACGGAGTTCCATCTTAAAAACTAATTGACAATGAGAAAAATAATCAATATTTATTTTAAACTTTTGTAAAGTTCATTTTTATTTTCCATGTGAGATCGTTAACCGTACTTGAGTACTCTACGAGAAATATTTCTATTTTAACATTAGTGTCTCCATTGTTTGAAATCCATTATTGTGATTTTGATTAAGGACGGAGTAGGTTTGTGAGTGGTCGAAGTTTGAGGTCAAATATTTTGAATTAGTGTAAATATATATTTTTTTTCAAGTATTCTTTATCTCATTTTTAAAGAAAATTCTGCGAGAATTTTTATGATGTTTCTTTAAATTAATTTGTGCTAGTCATGATTTGATTTTAAAAGTGAGCCAATTTCATATAAATTAACTATAGATTGAATTCTATTGTCAGCGCGTCACGTTTTCTTTTATGATAGAATGGGTTGGGAGCGGGTCATATGAAGAATTAAAAAATAAAATCTATTTATATTCTTACAAATATTGATAGCTTGTTGGAGGCTAAAAAAGGTTTAATTTATATTTTTAGAAAAGAAAAAGTTGAAATATATAATTTTAGGTATAAAATGATGTCTTTTAGTCTTTGAAGAATGATAGCTTTTAACTTAAAAAAAAAAAATAGAAACGAGAAATACAGACCAAATTTAAATGAAGGACAAGTATAGAGACAGGCATAATGAGATGAAAATTGTCCATATTATTGTACTACTGGATTTTTAAATAACCTTTTTTCTTGTGGACAAATTTATTCATATTTCAAAGACAAGAATGTGACTTGTTATTATTTATAATATTAATCTTTGACAGCATGGCAGAGAATATTCATCTTTATAAGTTTGTATATAATGTTATAACTTTTTGAACAATCTT